GGATAACAGTTTGAAAAATGGAAAGAAAACTCCACGAAAGAGGTTAGCACGATAGTCTAAAAAGTAAACAACATAAACCAATTTAAACCTTGTAATATAGGTAATTTCTGAAAATATATGGGCACATCCAGATATTGGTTAACATGGGGCTGATGGAACTGCAAACAAACGACTCAAAAAGAGCCCATGTGAAAAAGTGATCCTATAAGGCATTCCAAGGTATCCCAATTTTTCTTGTATGTGCTGCAGAGCCAGATTCCTGTTCAGCAGAACTCCCAGTTATAACAGCAGTCCAGATTATACTCAGAATACTGTCTGTTGGTGATCTATGATTATTGGTGATTATTCTCAAGCCATAATTCAAAGTGCGTTATACAAAGTATCTCTGTACCTCTCCCTGAGTTGTGTTTAATAGCAGTTGTGAACAACAGACGTGTACTCCAAGGAATCCATATGTAAAGTGGAATTTATGAGGCAAAAGGGTGGTTCTTTGTTGAACTCATTTGCACATGCCCATCCAGAATCTCTTGGAAAATAGCGTTTTATGACTTGACTGGTGTATGCAGATCTGTGTTTAACAAGGTATTTGCTATCCACTGACTTCAGGTGGAAGCGGTTTTCAATCAAATTTTTCCACATTGTAACTCTTGGTTTGTGATCCGCAAGTAACGTCAAATCTCAATAGCAAGCCAGTAACCTAACCTCAGGCTAGATGCTGAATTTATCCTGATGAAAGCCAAGGACGTTGGCTGAAACTTGATCAGATTTTAAAGAGATGAAATAAAGGAATCTTTTAAAGAAAACCAAGACCGTGAGTGCAAGCCTTTCAATATTTATATGATAATTGTGGCATTGGCTAAAGTGCACCCGGCATTTTGAAAATTAAAAGTGTGTGTGCAAGGACAAAGAGAGACTATATATATATATATATATATATATATATATATATATATATATATACTATGTGCATAGTGATGTGTCCAAATTTAAAAAATAAAAACTATTTTTATTAAATCAAATGCCTAGAAAACCTTTGCTGTGTTTCTGTGGAGGAAACCAAAAAATATTAATTTGCCTAAATGAAAAAATAAATCATAGAAAAATAAAAAATATGTAGAGAAATATTTTTTGTTCAAGACAAATACTTCTATTTGCTTATATGTTTTTATCGGTCTCTAATTCTTCTGGTTGATTTACATTCTGCGTGTTGGCTTACAGCATTACAATCTGGATCTTGTACTACATAGAATGTACCAGCCATGGGAGTCTCATACAGTTAACACATTTAGACTGATTCATGATCAATGGATTCAGCCGCATAAAAGAATGTATACCAGACCCTCACTGCACAGTGGAAAGCTACCTGTCTCTACAGGAACACTAAAGGAGAATTGTTGATTGACATAATTTTTAGTTTTCATTCATGTGTTTATCATTTATAGGAATATTGGGAAAATGAAAAGCTTTAGACAGTATACTGTATCCATGTAAAGCATGAGACAGTAGTGGCACATCCATATCTTAGTCTGAGTTCAGACAAAACAGCTGACATCTGGGACCATAACTTCTGCTAAACTCGGGCAGCACTGGGAAAAGCACAGGTATGTCCCAGTACTGCCCATAAACTAAAGTCCTAACTTCTTATCCTATGCTATTCTACCACATCACACTATCTCTAAACATGAACCCTTACTCTAAATCTTAACCGCAACACTACACATTAATTCATTCAGTAATATAACATACCTCACGATCACTAAACAATATCCCCTATAATACACATTAACCGCAACACTAAACAATAATCTCTATACTACAATAAACATTGACCCCCTACAGTATTTTAGCCCTTACCTTAACACTAACGCAATCTAAAAATGTAATGTCATAAAAAAATACCTAATAGTGAAGAATTTCTTTTGGGAAATTAATGCCATCTTGGAGAATTTGGAGACATTTATAAACCATTCGAACTTGGGTCTCGGGGTTTATTATAAGGTGTCCAATAATGCTCAGTTTGCTATTTTCTGTATATCTGTATGTGTATAGTATATACACAAAACTACACACATACATTAATTCATTATTCTATTTTGAAATTTCTCTCAAATGACACCTGCACAACAACTCCTGAGGCAAAAAAACAACAAGAATGCTAATTTTTGGGCAACAGAGCAGAGTGCTTCTAACGACATGGTTACCAGAGGAATATAGCATCATTATTCACTCATAGGCACAGCTTGAGAAACATGATAAAATGAGCGCACAAGCATTCTTTCCTTGATTTATCATTTGGCATAAGCCATGAAAGAATTATTTTCTACTTTACATTAAGCAGTATGCAAACCAGTTGTATGTATAATAGTGGATAATTTTTGCATTTCAGAAGATAAGGTTATAAAACTGCCTGTAGCATGGATTTACTACTCTGGCTGTGTTGGCCTAGTTTGTAATAATAAAACATTATATAGTAAACAAGATTTGGAATGATTTATGTTGGAATTTGCAAATTTGATTTTCAGCAATATTACTAATTTTGTTTGCAGTTGGTAATGCCGCAAGACTTAAATACGTAAATAGATTTTTTGTCTGAATGATGTTGCGTTTCACAAATATAAATTCACTTATGGCACCCAAAGGTAAAAATTTTGGTTTTCTAGAACAGGGGTAGGCACCCTCTAGCACACCAGAAATAATGGACTACATTTACCCTATGCTTTGCCAGAATTATAGTTGTAAGAGCATTATGGGAGATGGAGTTCATAACATTTGGAATTTTTGGAACAACAGCGAATGTTGTGTGTGTGTGTGCGTCATTGGAAAATGAGAATTGACGTTGTAGATATAACTTTATTATTTACAAGCAGATAGAGTCTGGGCCCTTTTTTTTATTCCATCTCTGGAATTTGACCCGCCCCATTCTGTAAACTTTGCCACTAACTTCTTGGACTTTGCCAACTTAATATGCCAATGCCACAATTCTATCAGTAATATATTAAGTTTTTATTACTTACAGTGTCGGGTCACCTAGTAGTTAATTTGTTGGGAGGAGGGGGTTGTACATTTTTTTATTGTAAGTATAATTTTTTTAATGTAAGTATTTTTATGCTTTGTGACCCTGATGCCTTACCAGTAACACTCCAGTTAAACTACATTATAATTCTTAAGAAACATAGCTAGCTAAACAGCTTGCTTGAGTCTCGTGTTAAATGTAGTCAGCAAGAACTGCAGTGCTAAAGGTAAGACTTTAATATTTGAGGACACAACTAAACAGTTTACTTAAATTTCTATTTGCAGAGTATTAGACAGTCCTATCTGGCTGAAGAACAGGGCTTTCAGTTTCTGCCTGGATAAGACTACATTGGAGAACTGTAAGCAGGGCAGAGGGAGGAAACCAACGGGAGGAAGATTATCAGAGACTGCAGGGTAGAAAGTGCAGGGATGTATTCAAAGCATGGAGCTGGGAAAGATCTGTCAGACACTGTCTGTTCACTTTCCACACTGTACATCCATCACTGCCATTGAAACACTGTGACATTAACATTTTCACAGACTTCCCCAACTGTGATCTTAAAGCTCCATTCATCGGTACCTTTAATTTTCACACATACGGTGTATCAGTGGCAGTGGGAGCTTCACAGTGTTAAGAGACAGTGTATTAGACAGCCAATAAGGGTGATTCACACAATTTCTTCTTCTAGGATTTAATCAGATTTGGGCAAATTACTATAAAACTTGTTCAGGTTTTTTTAGTCTCCTTGCAAGCAATAGACGGGAATAATAAGAAGGAGGAGGGAGGAAAACTTAATAATTAATACTAATTATTAAAATGACATACACAACACATTTCTTTCAAAAAAAGTTAAAAATCCCAATAGATAAAAAAAAAAAATTATTAAATAGATTATGGCCAGTGTTCCACTGATAGTATAAAACAATTCTATAAGATATAAAGATACCTAATGATTAGATTACATGCACAATCAAGTGAGAAAAAAAAGTTTGTGATAGGCGCTCTCTATAATATTAAACAGAGGATGCAGGGCAGGCAGCAGTAAACAGTACAAGGATGTTACCAAGGTTTGTTGGTACATGCAATGCAAAAAGGAACAGAGTAAACTGTGCCCAAGATATATATGCAAGCAGTTATACGTACATAAATCTTCAGATTTTTTATACAATGGACCTCAAAAGAAACAAAAATAGACAAAATAATAGTGCAATACAGTAGATATAACGTTTTAGTGGTGGATAATTAAGTGTCGCTATGACTCACATTCTTATGAGCTAGTTCAGTGCCCTGCTGCTTTGCAATCTCTGTCTATGGATAAACGTTGATATGGTCCCCGTCTATGGATATACGTTGATATGGTCCCCACAGGGACTTCAAATAAGGTGCAATGTGCAAGGCATATGTGGAAGCAAATGCAGAAAAAAACTCCAATGGTGAAGTAGGTACAAATTGATAAATCAAATGAATAGGTAGAATATTGTACTCAAATTTGCTAGAGCAGAACTTGCTCTAGTGTAAACAACATGCATGGTATAATCCCCACCTAAGGTTGTGATGATACCAGTAAGCAGTTGATTGATGCAAAATACAGTATTACATATATATATATATATATATATATATATATATATATAAATAAACTTTAATTTGCCAAACAAAAATATTACAGTATATAAAAATGAGTTACACTTAACGCGTTTAGCCTCTCAAAGGGCTTCTTTAGAAGTGTGGTGAGGATCTCATAGCGTCCTGTTTATATAGGATGTTTGTAAATGAAGATTGCTTCCTGGTGATGCTAATTTCTGGTTTCCTGTAACCATTTTGGAACGCACGCTTCACACCGGAAGTGATGCATGGGATTCGCTGCATGGTAGATGTGGCGAAAGTAACCTCACCACTGGGTTTTGGAGAGGCCTGCTTGCCAGCCTCTTGCCCTGTGAATATGGTCCCTGGGGTGTTTTGCCTTTTAAAAACACTATTAGAGAATATTGGGACTTAGCACAATGCCCCTTTCAAACATGTGGCGGCGGCCATCTTAAATTGTCCAGCAGTGTTTTGTCGTCGAGTGTATGGAACTGTTTTGGGCATGGGACCATGTGCACGGTGGGGCAAAAATAAGACTTCCAGGAAATTCCTGAACCCCTGAACCGATTTGGGTGATTTTTTGATATGTTGTTCACCCAGATCGGGGCTATCAGGGTGAATTTTGTGGGAATATGTTGTATTTTGGGGTACTATTTGTGGTTTGTACTAATGTATGTTTTTTCTGCTTAGAGTTAATTGATTTAGTTCATTGTCTTCATTAATTATATCACAGGCAGAGGGGAGGGATTGTGTACACTGTATGGGAGTGACTGAATGTAAACCTATGTTTTTATTGGCTTGTTGCTCTTTTAAGAGCTTGTTCCTGCTACTCTCTCTCTCGGAGGAGAGGTTCACTCACTGGAACCTGGAGCCTTGTAGTAGGTCTATGGTGGGTAGAGGATGGGAAGTTCCCAGCCAAGCTGCAGCGGTTCATGGGATCTGCAGTGCTTATGGTGTCTGGTGCGGTGCTGATGGTCCTTGGTAAGCACTAGGAGCATCGATTGATGGAGGGTCCATCAAAGTAGTGTCTTATTGGCTTCATGCATTTCAGTGTGGAATGCACATGTAACCAAGATGGTGACGCTGCATTTTCATTCATGTAGACATAAATATTATCCACAATGGGATAGTGAAAGTGTCCATGTGATATAGACATTTTAAATCCCACCTCTGAAAAAGCCAACTGTGACAGTCCAAACTGTTATGGGGGGGGTGTTGCCTCATGGAGGAAGTGACGCAACACGGGGCTTTAAATGTAGTTCATATCTCAGAAGTGGCTCGGCAGCCATGTTTCAAAAGGGCAAAGAGAGGGAAAATGTGTATAAGAGATAAGAGAATATATATATGTATATATGAGGATATTTCTTTTGTTTTTACTGTATGTATTGCGGCTGATGTGTAGCGCAGGACTTATCTTTTTGTATTTGTATTCACTTTTTGTATCACACAGCTTTGTTACAATGCTGCCGCCCATCCCATGTGTTTCCTATTAAGAGTTAATAAGTATATAGGGGTGTATACAAAAAATACCCCTCTCTGTCTCATTAGATATATCTTTGCCAGATGCTCAAGGAAGCAAGGTGAAAGGTCAGTGTAGGACCCGCCTAGGGGGGTCTGCCTTGACGTTGGCAAGCTGGCATTCCTTCCAATGGCCATTGGAATAGCTAAATGACCTCCATTTGTTTAAATATACATAGGGATTTAGGAGAGAGTGCATGTAACCTTTTCTTTTGTTTTTACTGTATATATTGCGGCTGATGTGTACTGGGGTCGTTGCTGCCGCCCAGGAGTGATGGGAGTGAGCACAGGACTTATCTTTTTGTATTTATATATGAGGTTATGTATAAATCTTTGCAGATAAATGATTTTTGGTCTATTTAGACTATTAATTTAACAAATATATATTAAAAGTAGGATAAGAATTGCTTGATAAAAATAAAAATGAATTATTTAATAAAAAGGAGAAGAAATCATTCTTAAAAAACCGGTGACAAGCAAAGTAAAAAGAGTATCAGCTAATATCATAGGTCTTGTATACAGAATATATTTTTGTAAAAAGTCTAATAAAAAAGGGATAATTAATGAAGGCATAATATTGTATATAAGATAAGATAGAAGAAATGTATATGGTACATTCCATTCTATCCAATATCTTTCTTAAAATATTCCCTACCTTCAATTTTTTTTATGATTTTTTTTTAACAATTTTCTTTTTCATTTTCTTTTATGTATTTTTACATGCTTTAGAATATTTAATATATGCCTTAATTTAAGGTCTAGATTAATTTAAGGCTTTTATTAAATATCATAAAGCATGTCAAAATACAGAAATACCTGAAAGCAATAAAATATATATATTTAATCAAAAACAACAAAAATCCCAAATTTGCTTTGGTTCTTATATCACAAAGTAGATGGAAAAATGCTGAGTCTTTAAAAGGTTCATTGAGGAGTATATTGTTAAACAAGCATGTTTCAGTAAGATGTGTTTGACACAGTATAGTGAAGGAACTTAGACTCAAGAATGATCTGAAATATTTGTATCTGATGTAGCTGTATGTGCATTATACATACAGCATTGTTATAGGGAGGATGAATGCAGTGGATAAGTCAGTATATGCCCAGCAGTATATAAGCAGGTTAAGAGTAAATGTAGTAATGTTTCTTAGCTGAAGTGAGGCATTTTCATTTCATCTAGCACCTTCACAATAGCAGGCTGGAGGCGTTCTCTGGAAACAATTCAAGGCCAGAACACAGACTTTTCAAAGAATAATAATGGCCATTTAGTCATAGAGAAAAATACATTGAAAAGTAATAAAGACTCCCAAACATGCACAAAAAGTAGAACATTATTCATTCCATATATAACTATTTTTCTACCCTTTGTTACAAGACTGAACCAAACGATCTCTATTTTAATTAAATAAATAAAGCAAAAATAAGTTACCTACTTTAGATATTGTGAAATTCTATTTAAACACCATCTAATACATAAAGGATGATGTTAGTTGTGTAAGGAGAAGAGTAGCGCCTTGGAGAAAGTCCTGAAATCTTGGTCAGTGTGAGTTAGTATGTAACAAGTAGAGAGGGCAGCATGCAAAATATAGTGTAGTACGTTCATAGCTGAATAAGAGGAATTGAATTTAGAGTGTATGGAGCTGATAATAGCTCCAAATATGATCGTGTTATAATATTTACCTGTCCTCTGATCTCCCCAGCTAGGCCATGGCTGTGTATCCGGCTCCTGACTACCAGTGGCCCTTTGTCCATGACCTATTTGCCCAAGTTATCAGTCTGCCCCTGGATAAGACCCAGGGAGGGCCCTCAAAAAAAGCCATGTGCCTCAAATTTGGAGTTTATTACTATTAGCATTGTATTAAGGAAAAGGTATAAAGTTTCTACATGAGTGAAATAAGTAAGGCCATCCTTACTCCCCATACTCATTTTATGGTCACAAACCCTTGTAGAAAGAAGCTGACATATTGTAGATTATTCTAGCTTTAGTGTACTTATAATCTTAATTTTATAAACAGGAGGTGAATATTTTGTTTAAGACTTTCTTAACTTTATCTCCACAGCAGAACAAGTTTTACATATTAACAGAAACAACCAATCAAAAACAAAGTAACAGAGATAATAAAACTCCCTCCCATTGTAGACTCCTCCTCTTTCTATCTGCAAACGAAAATAGGAACAGGAACAAATGAAGACCAATGGATAGCTGGTTAAACAAGAAAAATCATCATAAAACATGGAGACAAATCCATCGTCAGAGGAATAAGTAACTGTAAGCACAGCTTCTGGAGAAAACTGAAAAGTCAAAAAGGAGGATTAATCGAGGAAATAAACTTCTAAAGGCATGTCAACTTTCCTCGATTAATCCTCCTTTTCGACTCTGTTCTCTTTGCCAGGCCAAAATATAGTAAAATAATGTAATGTACTATACAAAAATATGCCCTATGGACAATATTCAAACAGTATAAAATGTACAGAAAAACTATAGGCACAATAGTATACCTACTTGACAAGTCCAAAGTTGTACCTATGAACAGAAATCAGGGAAGGGTCCAACTGGGTGGGAAAATATTCACCTGTTGTCATTAATACAATTAAGATTATAAGTACACTAAAGCTAGCATAGTCTACAATATTAGTACATGGCAGGAGGCTTCATATTTTGCTCTTTTAACGTTTAGTCAATATCGCAAAAGAAGCATTAACCGAAGGAAGGAAATAGAAGTGCCGGAAAGTCTCCCTCTGAGACCAATATGCCGAGCTAGGATGTTTTGAAGAGAAAAACAAGCCATGAAGGCATTTGAAGCCGCTGCACCTCTGACAGAGTGTGCCCTGAAAGTGGAGTCAACACCAGACAAGGACAGTAACCACCTCAACCAGTGTGTCAGGGTCGTGGTAGAGACTTGTCTGTGAGGACCGACATAAGAGATACGAAATTGACCAGAAGTACGGAGAGAAGAAGTAACCTCTGAATAACGAGAAAGGGCAGAAACTACACACAGGAGAGTCGGTGGAAAATGGATAGAAAATAGTAGAAGAGCCTGACTTAATATATCTGGAAATGGAAAAGGTAACGCCTTCTGGAGAAAAGGAGATGGAGTTGGCATCAAAAGCTCTGTCTAGGACCCGCTGAAAGGAAACTAAGTGAAGCAGTAAGGGGAATTTAGGTCTTAGTTATTTGTCCAATTCTATAGGAAATTAAGTACGAGACCCATAGATGCGAATATTTGGCGGTCACATGTGGTGAAAGTTTAATGCTCCGGAGGAGCCTGTAGACTAAAGGGTCCTGACCTATCAGAGAACCCTGCATAGGAACGTCCGCTGCCGAGATAGCTGACCGGACTACATTGATGGATCGATAAGAGTATCCCTATTCAAAAAGATGAAAAAGGAAATTTTATACAAATGGTATAGGAGCTGTAATGGGATTGGTATCTCGTTCCAGGCACCAACCACACCAAGTGTTCCAGATGGGCAAGTAGTATTTCTGGTTCTTGAGCCCATGAATCCCAGAGGAGGTCCTTAGTTGTCTGCGATAGGCATCCAATATTCCAGGTACCCAAAGAAGGGTCCAATAGAAGGTTGAGAAGGATGAGAAGTGGATCGTGGTAAGATAGATCTAGAAGGTCTGGGATCCATTATTGGCCCTGCCAGAGTGGGATCAGAAGCAACAGAGAGACCAGTTGTCGCTGAAGCTGTAAGAGAACTTTGGAAATCATGGCAAATGGAGGGAAAGCATAAGCTCCCTTCATTAGCCATTCCTGGAGAAAAGCATCTACCGCCATGCACTCTGGACCTGGGAGCCAGATGAAGAACCTTGGAATCTGGTAGTTCGTCCAAGATGCAAACAGGTTTACCACAAATGGTACACGTAATTGTGAAATGCGGAGGAAGATCGACCGGTGGAGATACCAGATGCTGGCGTCTCTCCAATATCTGGAGAACCAATCTGCTGTAAGGTTTGTCGCTCCTTGAAGGTATACCACCTGTATGATGTTGCGCTGGAAACAGAAACTGCAAATATCCTTCGTCAGAGGGTGCGTGGGTAATGTATTGCACCACCAATATGTTGTCCATCCTCTATAAAATGCACCAGTCCG